TGTGATTTAGTTTCGAAGCCATTCCAGCGAAGGAGGGCATATGTTTTGATCTTCCGGACTGTGACTCTTTGATTGATTAATAAATCTAATAGAGCAGAATGCCATGTAATGACAAATGCATGACCATCTTTGTTTGCTACGTTTTGAAGTTTAAATTGGGAATGTTCGTGTGATTGTGTGATGATAAATTAGATGAAATAAAGATAATGTGATAGTCTAAGGGAGGTGGAGACCTTTTATGGATGGCACCAGTGTAATTTTAGTTTTCTCCCAAATACCAGTGATGCCCAAGAAAACCCTTAATCCACTTAGTCATAAACTCCTATTGTCTGAGCTGCTGCACACTTCTTCATAGTATAGAAGTCATAGACTCCCGGTATATAGAAACATCAATTAAAACAACTAAAAGAAGGGCCATTAAGTTACCTTCGGTACTTGGCTGACATTGTTGTGGCCACATACAATCAACTCAAAGTGACATTTGTGTTGGTGTAATATTTATGTAAAATGTAATGTATAGCATACATTATATTAGGTAAGAACAAGCTTTTCGAATGTCATTCCCCACATACAATCAACTCACTTTTCAACATATTTTTATTCATACTGAACGTAAAAATACCATTTCTCTCAAAAGAACCATGCTATCTCAAGATTAGTGTAGCTTCTGGCAATCCTTGGCATCATGTCATCAAGTGCTTTTTGAGTAAAAGATAAAATTAAAAGCACCAAGATGTCGTATAAACCAGTTGTATAAACGTACCCAAATTTTCTTAATTCTTACATTTCTTGTGTTTTTTCTTGGCTTCTGACAGGTTGACAATTTGTAGACAACAGGCGGTCAATGAACGTAGTATTAATTTGTTACACACCTGAGATAACGGTTTTACCACATGTCCTCCTGAGATTTATATCAATCGTTAAGCCTCAGAACTTTGCTATGACTTCCTATTTATTACTTTCTTGCACTGAAATTCTCTAACTTGAGTAGTGTAAGTTCCCTTGACACCAGGAAAAGTGAACTTCTTGTGTTTTGCTGATTTCATTATAATGAAGATCGATGATTAAACGCTGACAGTCATCTGACAGTTGGCTTGTTTGCACGTCACTTGACCTAATAACAAAATGTTCTAAACAGTCAGAAAATTCCTTTTTGAATAGAAAATGTAAAAATATACTTTACAATATTACTGTCACATGTACTCACTTACCAGTTTATTAGGTCCACTTTATGCTGTGGGCGGCTGTGAACTCACGGTAGAGCGGGTTGTCCATTAATCACAGGGTTGGTGGCCTCAATCCCCGGTTCCTCCTTCAGCAACAAACTTGACTGGTAGCTCTGGCATTATTGGTGTGAGAGTCTGTGTGAATGGGTGAATGAGAGGCAAATTGCAAAGTGCTTTGGTTAAAAGCAGTCCATTAGCAAAACTAATCTTCATAAAGCTTATCATGTTCTGGTTAATGCTGTTTTAGAGACGTGTTGATTTAACTTTTATTAGAATTTTGGAGCCTGCATGTTGTTGTGCTGATGGAAAAAAATGGCTGATGGCTTGTTGTGATCATAAAGGCAGCTGTTTCATCTCAATTGCAAATCATTTTGTTGCCAGTTCTGCTAATTCTTGGTCTTAAGTGTGTATAAAGTGACATTTGTGTTGGTGTAATATTTATGTAAAATGTAATGTATAGCATACATTATATTAGGTAAGAACAAGCTTCCCCACATACAATCAACTCACTTTTCAACATATCTTTATTCATACTGAACCTAAAAATACCATTTCTCTCAAAAGAACCATACTAATTTTGCATGCAGTGTTGTTTCTGCTTGGGAAAGTGTGAAAACACTAAATTACCAATTGCAGTTAGTAAAATTTAACGAGGTGTATGGTGTAAATGTGAGTATTTTCAGTATACTGCACAGCAAATTCAATTAAATTTTGGCTACAGTAGCCTTGGTGTGAAAAATCAGTCACTAGTTTCCTCATGTGGCCAGTGTGATTTGGTAGCTGTTGTTCAGAAAGCTTGGAGTTTATCTTGTGTGTACACACAGAAAAACACATTGATAAACAAATTTCTCATTCCCCTTTCTTGTTGGGCTTCAGTAATTATGACATAGGACAGAACACACACAGATGCCAAGTTAGTATAATTGGCTGCAGGGGGGTTTATGTCATGGCCTTCCCTCCACCCCCCTCTTCCTGTGATGTCTGATAAACTCAAAGCAGACATGAAGTGAGGTAAACAGTCACACATTCACATGAGCAAACACAGCAGCCTGATCAAGGAGGAGGGGGAGAGGCAGGCAGCTTGAATAAGTTCACTGACATAGTATGAAGCCTACTCTGATACAACAATGTCTCTAATGGAGTTACTTCAAGAGGGCCAAGAGGAGTTGAGTCGACTACTTGGCAATCTGTCCATATCTATCAGTCTGTTGACCCGACACACATTCAGCACGAGCCGCAGACTGACCTGGAGAATAGGTTAGTGTTAGTTTGTCTGTGTGTGTGTGTGTGTTCATGTGTGTGTATTTTGTGTTAACTGGACGTCTATGTTCAGAGAGTGTTCTGGACTGGAGTGTCTGTAATTTAAATCGATGTGACAGGATGAGGGGACATGATTTCCTATCACCACCGGGAGATCCCCCCTGCTGTGGTTCCCCCTCATTATTCAAACATAATAGAAGAACCTCACTATTTAGCTTCCTGCTGATGCTACAGTATATCTCTGATACTTCAGGTGGCTTGAAATTTGACTATAGAGACTGTAGAGGCAAACAAACATGAGATGTCATATTATTTTGAATGTTCTTCTCTCTCTACAAATCCAGAATAGCAGATTTTCTTTATGCAGAAGTGTCATATTCTTGAATTTAGTCATTACTTGTCTGAATGTCTGACTAAAAAATACCTTATTTAAATCATTATCAGTGGGGAAATCAAATGGGATTTAATTTCCTATTGGGGACTACATAATCTCTAGTTGCACGGTTTTGATGTCCATGTTGATTTTGTGCATATGTGAATATGTGCAAACATTATCCATGACTAGTAGAGGTAATATATCAGCTTTATTTTGGACCAGTATACCATGATTGACCTCATGTTGTACAGTAGTATGTTGAGTTTTTCTCATGAGCCTAGCATGTAAAGCTATGAATTTATAGTGTGTATCTGCATTACATACAATTGTAGTCTATTTTCTCAGTGGATTTAACTTTTACATCATTTCAAATTAATATCAGTACACCAGGAATGTCTTACAGTTCTCTCCTGACTCTGCTCACCTCTTGACCCCTTTTGGGGTCCTACTACAAGGTTAAGAAACAGTGTTCCTTTGGTTGAACAACATGAAAAACTAATAAAAAAATAAATAAATTAAATAATGTTTAACGAAAATACCCTGTTAGGTGCTATGTGCAGTCGTTAGGTCCAGTAAAAAGCTCCAATGCCAAACCTAAACTGTGTCACAATGTGTCATTTTCTATTTCTACACATACCATATTCCACCATAGCAACATATAGCATTACATGAAAGCATTGGAGTTGTTAAGGGAGCTAAACAAATGGTTTCTCTTCTGCTTCCTGTCTTTGTGTTAAGCTAGGCCTAACAAAACTCTCACAGCAATGAATCTGTTAGATGATAATACTAACATTCAATAAGACAGTAAACAAATACACTGTATCCAAAACGCCTTAGTGTTCCTTTAAATGTACTCACCAGACCAGCAGGGGCACTAGCTGTAATTTTATGCAGTGTAATTCCTTGAACGCAGCCCTCTTTGGTGTTTTGACCTTGGTAACTGATTACCTGATGTAGCCCTTGTGATATGCTAAACGATAACTTACCATATGTCTCACTACACCAGCAGCAGAAATGTATTTTCACTAGTTAGACAGTTGAGGGACAGATCAGACAGATGAACAGGCAGCCAAACAGAAAGTCAAAGAAACTGATTGGAAAGAGAAGCACACTGGTGAACAGGTGTTTTCATCATGTTGGCCAGCCTCTGCTGCGGCCTTCAACAAGCAGTAAGAAAACAGAATCACAAATGCACGCAGACTAACAGTGAGTGTTGTACAAATGAAATTCTATGATTCCACTTCTGGGAATCTGTTGAGCATGTGGCACAGCCTAATCAATATTTGTCCATGTGAGCAAACCAGGCAGGTTAGAGGATTAATTTTAGTTTGTAGAGATTGGATGGGTGGCTGATTTTGTGTTTGTGAGCTTATCTATGCAAACAATGTAATCCATTCAGGCTCTTTATGTGTTATGAACACATCTGACTTGCAACATTTTGCTGAATCATGTACAGTGCCACCAATGATACTGAGTGTGCATAACACTGGTAATATCAATGTAGAAGCAAACATGTGTTGTTGTGTAATTGTGTTAATGCTGCAGATAAATAGCTTTCCTCAGTTTAAAGTAAGGACCTTAGCAACAAAGCGGCAACTTAGATCTGTGCTGGAGGACTCACACTGACTATCAGGTCCTGGCGGAACTTGCTTTACGTGTTTAAAAATATTAAATCTGCACTTTTTATGACATCTTTTCACATCCAGGTTGATTTTTAAAGGCTCAGTCCTTAATATTTGTGTGCATGTGTGGCAGCATCTTCTGCAAAACTGCATGACAAGTGATTTTATTAATCCTGAATGTGGATTATATTTGAGACAAGGTGAGAGCAAACTCTCATAGGGTGTGTGTGTGTGTGTGTGTGTGTGTATGTATGTATGTGTGTGTGTGTGTGTGTGTGTGTGTGTGTGTGTGTATGTATGTATGTATGTATGTATGTATGTATGTATGTATGTATGTGTGTGTGTGTGTGTGTGTGTGTGTGTGTGTATATGTATGTATATATATATACTGTAAGTATATTCTCTCTTGCTCAGTCAGGGCCGAGGAAAGAGGTGTGGTGTAATAACTCAAGAAACTGTGATAGGTGTGTTTGTTTGTGCAAGAGAGAGACAGGCAGGGAGGGTTTGGAAATTACGAATGAGGAGAGCAGGATGAGGCAGGTGATACTCTTCTCTCTACCTGTGGAGATGAAGGTGGTGAGGGAGGGAGAGAAGAACAGACACGGGAACAGGATGAAGGAATGCGCAGGAAAACAGGAATATGGAAGAGAGAGGTTTGTGTGCATCTCGCTAAAGGAGATGGAGAGCTACTACAGATACAGCCGGTGCTGTCAACAGCTGTTGCATGGTGAGTTTTGCAGGGGTGTGTGTGTCACTAAGTTTTAAGTGTGGTGTGTGAGGTGTGTCGGTGCATATGAAGGCTCATGTTGACTCAGAGTTAGTGGAAATCCAGACGGAAATCTAAAGTCGGAATAATGAAGATTTCTGGAATTGTTTGGACTTGACATTTAGAATATAACCATAACATGATATTTTCATGTTACCGATTCAGATATTCTCCTAAAGTCAGCTTCAAACTGGGTCAACTTTAATGCTTATGAGTACGTCTTGTTAAACATTGGATTTGAACTAATTATTGTGTATTCACTGTTCATATGTGCAGTAGTAGCGATGCAGTGAAGCATAAATCATTTTAGTACATCATTGTGAGTGAAGGGCATAATCTGCAAATGCATTTTTTCTCTTAGTTGTGGTTATATCACTGCTTCCAATGTTGCCACATGATGATCACATGCAATTTGTTATTCTACTAGCCCCTGTTTCTCTAAATATTCTTGCAGAGGTCTTTCTGAGTCATTTTACTGCTTCCATTAAATAACTGCAATTCCCATCTTTGATCCATTATCCAGATTTCCATTAGCCTCAATTCTTATTAAAAGCTCTCCATAGCTACTCTCAACAGTGACACACACCCTTAAAACATCCAGAAAAGCATCAATTCACATTTTGGTCCCTTTTGACACTGCTGTCATGAGTGCGCCTCTTATGAAGAGAAAGCATTCATTACAGCTGCACTTGGGCAAACAGACAAACTTGAGTCACAAAGAAGTAATTGCATTGCGTTGGCAATCTGTCTCCATTTCCATTTCCAAGCTTCTCTTCTACCTCCTAAATCCACTTCATAGCTCCTGTCCTTTTTACAAGGGGTGATTATCAAGTCCAAAAAGTTGTCTTTGAGATAATTTTCTCAGAGCAGGCTTTATACTATGTCAGTTTGAGTTAAGCTGTCTGCTTACACACTATCACAGCACTTGGCACACCTTATCTTGCTGGTCAAGTACGAAATGTAGGCTTAGTTGTCAGGTAACTTTTCATCCATCCATTTTCCATGTAACCAGGAGTTCGATATTATGTCCCATGGTGGATGTAAAGCTGCACAAGAAAACATACTGACTTTATTCCTCTGTGGCCCATCAGAGGATGCCAAAGTTCATGTGGGGAAAAAAGTACTACTAAGTCCGTATTTACTCAAGGTGGTTCAATAAAGGTGGCATTATTATCTGACAGCGTGTGTGTGTGTGTGTGTGAGTGTGTGTGTGTGTGTTTGCTCACCAGTGATCACACAGACAGTGCAGTGTGAGCTTGATGGTTTTTTAAAATCTTGGTACGTGTCAGTGATTGTTCAGGTTTATTCTGGTCCACTTCCTGCGGGCTTTGGTCTGTATTTAGAGATGATGTGTGTATTTTTAGTAAGAACTATTGTATAAAGGCTGCGTCACTGAGACAGGTGCTGCATTTTTGCTCTTGATCATATTTTCCTCATTATTGTTGCTTTGTCAAGTCAAGACTTTTTTGTTCAGTGATTCGAAATCTTGATGCTAAGACCTGATGCGAGATAATTTCTTTTTATGTTGATTTTATTTCAAAACAGCCTAGGCACTTTTAAGGCCATCCATTAATTTTCACATCTTTAAAGTCTTCAGACTTTTTTCACATTTCTAAAGTTTGATGGATGTGCTTTTAACCTGCAGAATTACATTTTGCTTCTAGTAAATTCCACTGTAGTCCTCTGTTTAAATGTCACACAAAAATCAAAAGTGACTGTAGCTTTTAAAGTGTAGTAATTGATTAAAAAGTATTTGGGCTAGCAGTATTTGTGAATAAACATTGATTTTGCCGAAACACCAAAATGTCATGGTTACATAATGGTCAGCTGCTGTCTTCTCTGCAACTTCCCCTGGTGTTTGCCTTATGATGGTCCATCGTGACGGATGATAGTCTTGGTTCCTGCGTGGCAAAACTCCCTCTATCAAGGGTGTTCTTGTGATTTTGCAATTTGTTTCCCATCATTTTAGCCGTCTTTCCCATGATATCCCACTCTCTGTCACACTCTTTGTTTCTTTGACTTGTTTGACACCTTGTGACCTTAAGTTAAAATCCCTGATCATCATCTGAGTTGTCTGTGTGAGCGACCCTGACCCTTCCACACACACTCCTCTCCTTCAAGTTCATTGTCCTCATCCTGACCAGGGGAAAATAAACTGATAAACTGTTTCTTATATCAGAAGCTTAAAGTGTTTTCCCTTAATGCAAGGCTGTGCACGTAAGAGGTTGCAGTGTTTTTCCTGGTGTTCCCAGAGCTCATTGGGTTACAATAATAAAAGGATCACATAAGTCCAGTAAGTATGCCCAATATAGATTTTATCAGATCATATTATAGCACAGAAATGTCTACCACAGTAATTCTCACTCAAACACATCTTTTCGGCCACCTTTATTGGAGGGATGTGCCGGATTTGAGTCTTTATTGTAGCACTGCATGCGCCTTAGACACACACTTGTCAGCTGTGTAGTGTATGTACATAACGTCATCAGAGCATCCCAGCAGTATTGAATTTGTTTGTTTATTGGGTCTTTCTACAACATGTGGGATTAATGACTGACTGACTGTCAACAAGGTCATGGCGCTCAGTCATAAGAAACCTGGAGGAGGGTTTGCGTCTTGTAAAACAAGAAAAATGATGATGAAAAAGTAGCAAGGGTTGAAATTACTTTAATGTTGCACAGATATTTACTTACTCACATGTATGCAAAGACAGTTATGAACAGATATCTGACTGACTTGAAGAATTCATATGCAGTTTATTACTACAAAGTATAAAGCATTATTCTCATTTTTTGGCCTTTTTAAAAGCTTTTCTTTTTTTACAGCATTACAGATTATTCCCAAATATAACTCATGTATTATCTAGACACAAGATCACGTCGAATTAAAGTTTGTTTTGTTTGGATCACACTTGCACCATATTTTTTTCAAAATCAAGTGCTGCCATTCCCCTCATATACGAAAGAGGTTCCTTTGACATCCTTCAAGACATGACTGAGAAAGCTTTTTTCTGTGCTCAACCTGACTAACCCACCTACTATAATTCTATCAGTCTGACTTTTAGTGGTTTCACAGACTTCTACCTTGAAAAGAATCGAAAAACCCTTCAAAAATGTCTGAATAGAAGCATTTTAACAAATGTAAACATGCCTATTGATTATTGGATGGACATACTAAAAGAATTAATTTAATGTATTATAAAACTGTAAAAGTTAACTCAATCTTGTTGGACATCCCATTGTCTTCACATGATGCATTTTGCACTGTCAAATGAAAAATGTCCTCACTGACATATCAACCAGGATTTCTGCAAATGAAAAATATCTAACCCAGCATTAACAGAAAGTTTTTTTAGTTTTGGATGTCATTTGACAATGACATTTATGGAAACTGTTCTGTCATGCTGGTTGACAGGATACAGGAGTCTGTCTTACCCCTTAAGCCAGCCATGTAGGCTGCTTTCTGTCAAACGTATTTGACATATAAAGAAGTCCACATGTCAAGCATGTCAAAAACTCAACAGGAAATTGGCCTAATGACTGCCTGCTACTAGCCTTATGCTGAGGAGGAAGAGAGTCTGATGGACATTTGAATGTTTCTTTTTTACCAAAAAGAAAATGAAGTGATAGGCAAATTGGATGAAGATGGCTCATAGTCTTACAGTTCTGCTTTATCACTTATTCATTGTATCTTTCAGACATTGCAACTGTTTTTTGAAGGCTGTAAACTGGTTATTCTGTAATTTAATTTCACCAATAACTGATTTAAAAAGCCTGTTAGGTGCTGTCTGATATGTTGTTACAACCCCAAACTTTCCGCTCGTTCACACCTTTTTTTTCTCTCATACTTCTCTGCTGCTTGTTTCGGCCCATGAATCACTTCTCAATTGGTGACTTCCTGTTTACGCTCCAGCTGGCCAATAGTGTTTGATCCTAGAGCGGAAGGAGTCAATAGTGTCTAATCTTTCACGACGCAGACGTGTGTGTGTGTGTGGGGGGGGGGTCTCAAATAAATAATTTTGCTGGGAGTTATTCTAGCTGTAGTCTGCACCACATCCCTTATATACACACACATGCAGGCACAAACAGGTCTCCTTTACATCCCGTTTACACACACTGAAGTCTGCTCTGCATCCCATGTAAACACACACATGCACATTCACAAGTCATGCAATATTTTTAACTCAAAGTTGATTTTAGAGGCTTTGCTTGTGTTATATTAACTGATGCCCAAACACACACCACACATATGTTTCTTCTCTAGTCTTCATCACATTTTGCTCATCTTTTCTGTCCTGTTAAATTAATTCCTAGCCTTTTTTATTCCATTTAAGTTAAACATATGAAGGACATATGTCCTGGAAATATTTAAAGTAGTAAATTTAATTTGAGGTGCTATATCATGAGGACGCTTTCCTAAGACAAGTTGGAAGCTGACGTCATAATGAAGTTCATAATGCGGCTGATTTCAGATGTTGAATGTGTTTCGGCCATGGGGAGTAATTTTCAAATAAAGTACTATATTTCATTACCTGGATCAAATGTCAGGAGTAATGTCCTTGCACATAAATAACTGGTTGATGGATCCATGGATTGCCATTTATTTCTCATAACTGTTTAGACATTTTTTATTATTACTTTGACTAACTAGTGCATAATTGGATAGTGACTTCAAAAATATTTTTTTCTGTAATACAGTATACCATACTCTTATATAGATATGTACAAAAGTGGTTATTCTGGGATAGTTCTTCTTCTTATAATTGGGGTCTTATTTTCACAGTTTTGATCATGAATTTCTTTCAGTTATGATGACGTTGTACTCACCAAAGTAATGAGGTTAACACAATAAACTGGAATTAGCCCTAATTTAGTTACAAAAGTGAACTGAACATTTGAACATCTTTACTTATCTTCTGATGCGCCGGGAACATTTTTACATGCACACATACAGTGTGTAGT